CCTCCCCCCTCTCAGGGTCAGCCGCTCCCGCCCTCAGGTTTGATGCCCCAACCTCATCTCTTTAAGAATGAGCCGCAGGTACCAAGCTGGGGCTGGGGTCTCGAGTTCTGGCTCGGGGTGGGAATTCCCAGAAGCAGCCTTAAAAGGAGGAGCCTCCCTCCAGGGAGCAGGGGTGGGCTTGGCTTGAGAGGCTGCTGGCTCGGTTTCTCTGCTGTCACCCCTTGCCATCAGGAAGGAGGGGTAAGGCTATGAATAGTGGGTGCAACAGGTTGAGGCCAGAGGTGGGGAGTCAGGTGTAGCTAGGGGTCTTGCAAGGATCTCAATGATCACAAAAATTGGTCTGAGACAGAGACCCCCCCCCCCCAGAAGAGTAGGAGTCACTTTTGCCTGCAGTCCCCTATCGGAAATTGGGACAGCCATAGACCATAGAGGCATCAGAGGACCAAATGAGATGACAGCGAACTATTGTGGAAATCCCTAAGACGTCTGGGCCTTATTTTGGGCTTGGGAACCAGCCTTAACCTTCCAGGCCCCCATGCACCAGTGTCCCCTAGCAGTTGCCTGGGATGTGTGCCCAGCAATATGGACATATAGCCCCTAGCCCCACGTAGCTGCGCACCCAAGCCAGCTAGTAACTGTAGTTGCTGATCGGAAACAGGCACACGGGGAGGTAATTTGCTTAGAATAAACCAGCTGGTGATTGAAGGAGCCACATTTCCAGAATCTAGGCTCTTTCAGTTCCCTGGAATTGTAACCTCATCCCCTAGGGTTCAGCCTGCCACAGGCTTTATTTTTATTATAGGGCCCAAAGACCATACTGTCTCTGTCTATCTGTCTCCAATCTCTCTCTCTCTCTCTCTCTCTCTCTCTCTCTCTCTCTCTCTCTCTCTCTCTCTCTCTCTCTCTCTCTCTCTCTCTCTCTCTCTCTCTCCCTCTCTCTCCTCTCTCCCTCTCTCTCTCTGTCTTCCCCCTGAGACACGGTCTCAGCACACAGCATCAACTGAATTGGAATTCACTGTGTAGATCAGTCTTGCCTCCAATTCACAGCCACCCACCTGCCTCCATCTCCCAAGTGCTGGGATTAAAGGTGTGCACCACCGAATTTGACGGGTTTAACTAGATTGTAATGTGACAGCCGAGGCTCTGAAAGCTGGTGACCAGGTCTCTCTCTACAGAAAGGTGGGCGGGTGGCGAACCAGAAGGAGGAGCGATTTGGGACGCACTTCGTGTCTGGATGAGGTCTGACTCCCTGGAGTTCACAGAGCAGCACCAAGATGGATTTATTTTGCCTTTTAAAGAGCTGGCTGGGAAGGTGACACTCTAGCTTCCCTCTCACCTCTTTGAGTTCCGGCAATCCACAAAGTGGTCTGCCATTTTGCTGCCCCCTCCCACCCCTAAGCAAGCTAGTAAGCTAGCTCCCTGACCAGGGGCTCCGCTGGCTCTGGAAGCCAGACCTGTAGAGCTCCGCCTTCTCTTCTGCAGACTCAAAATGGCTCTGCAGGGGACCCCGGAGTGGATTTGAAGAGGTGTTTGAGAAGGTGGGAATTACTAGGGATTTGGAATCAAATTTAAACAAAGTTAGAACTGGGGGCTGGCTGGGGTCGTGGCTTAGTTGGTAGAAGGCTGGCCTCCCATCCATGACATCCATGACGTTTTGGGTCCCATCCTCAGCACTTCTTGAAGTAGGTGTGTTTGCATGCCTGTAACCCCAGTACTCCAGAGGTTGAAAGCAGCTGGGGGATCAGTTCAAGGTCATCATTATCCTTGGCTACACAGCAAATCTGAGGCCAGGCTGGGATATGAAACCGTATCTTCAAAAAAAAAAAAAAAAGGTCAGAACTGGGCATGGTGGTCACGCCTTTAATCCCAGCATTCTGGAGGCAGAGGCAAGCAGATCTCTGAGTTTGAGGCCAGCCTGGTCTACAGAGCAAATTCCAGGCTAGCCAGGACCAAACAGAGAAACCTTGTCTTAAAAAACAAACAAACAAACAAACAAACAAACAAACAGTCAAAACTAGAAGGTGAATGATACCCCATGTCTAACAGAAAGTTACTGTGTGGCTGGGCCCAGTGCCCAGCATAGTACAGTGCAGCACACAGTTTGATACTCTTAGACGGAGCTCCAGCCCGCTCATCTCTCAGCCCCTGCTGGGCACACCTCCCCTTCCCCCCTCCCATCCTTCCCACCTTCCATATTCTCCCCCCCCCCAAAGTCAGGGTTTCTCTGTGTAACAGCCCCGACTGTCCTGGAATTCGCTCTGTAGACCAGTCTGGCTTCAAACTCACAGAGATCTGTCTGCCTCTGCCTCCCCAATGCTAGGATTAAAGGTGTGTGCCACCACTGCCTGGCTAATGATTTTTATTTTATGTGCATTGGTGTTTTGCCTGCGTGTATGTCTGTGTGAGTGTCAGATCTTGGCGTTTCAGACAGTTGTTAGGCACCATGTGGGTGCAGGGAATTGAACCTGGGTTCTCTGGAAGAGCAGTGTTCTAACCACTGAGCCGTTTCTCCGGCCCCCACCTCCACATTGGAGACTCAAGCCAGTCTCTGCCTCTTCGGGGAAACTTGCCCTTTCTCTCCTCAGACTCACAGGACCTCATTCTCACACCCCCACTATCCCAAGGCGGGCTCGCAGGTCAGAGGGTGCAGACGCATGGAGGAAACAGCTAGAGCCTTGGAATTCAATGGTGATGGTGTCAGTTGGAAGCAGGGACAGGCATGGGCCATCAGTTCCTTGTGCTCTTGAGCTCATTTGTCAGGAGAAAGTGAGAACTACTCAAGGGTTCTGAGCCTGAGCACCTGTTTCCTCTCACTGGGGACAGGGCCTATTGTCACTCGCTGGCTAGCCCTTAGTGCAGCTAAGTCTCCATGGTAACAGATGCCAGTAGTGAAATTTGGTCTTGAGGCTCAACCAAAGTCTGGTACCAGAGGGATATGGGGTATCCGGCTTTATGTGACGTATCCTTGATGTCTTGTTCCTTGTCATTTTGCAGGCCTAGCTTTCAGATTTGCTCTCTTACTGTGGGGGGGGGGGGGCGTAGCAGACAAGAGGGAGGCAGCTTCGAGAATGGGGATAGGGACTGGGTTCTGGATCTGATCTCCACCCCATGCTCTGTGACTTGAAAAGTTCATTTCTCTGGCTCCAGGTTCTTTTAGGAAAAGGGAATGACTGCTATCATGAATGTCAGTTGAGACAAAGGTCTCATGCTGCCAAGGAAGGGAAAGGGGGACAATGGCCCTCTCTGTGGTTCAGCCTCAGTTTACCTAAACTTTGGCAGGCTTTCTCCCTTGATGGAGTGAGCTGGGGGTGGGGGTGTTTAACATTTATGGGGGGGCTTTGAGAGGTGCTAAGCAGAGAGGTGGCTACCTCTCCACCCCTTAGTGCCAAGTCTAACACCCCCAGTTGGGGCTGTCTCACACCTGGACTTACAGCTCAGCTGCTGCGAGCACAGCCATCCACAGACCCGCCAATGGCCTCAGCCTAGCCACCTTTTTCCTGTAGGAACACGTGGGGGGGGCAAGGCAAAGGGCACCCCGAGCAATGTGGCCTAATATCTGACCCTACTGCAGGCCTGCAAGTCCAGTCAGGTGGGCACTGACGTACCTGCTGTTGGTCAGCCCCACGTGTGGACCTGGTGGACCTGTTATGTGCCCCTCTATGTAGAGTCTTGCCTGGGGCTGCAGGAGGGAAGAAATCCCTGCCGTGTCTGCATCTAGCCATGGATAGCTTTCCTCATACAAAGGACTGCACTCTAGCTCCTGCCCTCAACTTACAAGGTTTCCTGCATACCGGCAGGAAATCCTCCCATCAGCAGAGTGGTCAAAAGCCAAGGTTCTGAGGCCAGGCTCTCTAGCTCCCCCTCCTGCTCTGTGACTTGGGTGCAGACTGTTAGCCTCTGCTTTGGTTTTCTCATTTAAGAAGTGAAGCTAACATCACCCACTTCGGTATGGTTCGATGGTTAAAGGAGCAAGTCTGAGGACAGCATGTATAGCCTGAGCTTATAGCCACTGCTGCCGTGGCAGCCTTCCTTCTGGATGGACACTTGGAGCCTTCTCCTGCCTCAGATCAGCTGAATTCAAAGGAACAGTCTTGCTAGCTTCCCCCATCCCCTTCATGTCATCTGCCTGACCCAGAAGCCTCCTCAGTTCTCTTAATTCCCTGGTCTCCTTCCTCCAGAGCATCTTCCAGGAGCTGAAATCATGGTGTTGGCTTTGTGCTGCCACCAGGCTGCAGGTGATGTGAACGGGGTGGAGATGGGCAGCTAGCTTGGCTCTCCCATAGCTCTGACTGACACCAGCGAACCAGGTTGGCTGAACATCATCTGCACCAAGGGCCAAGGAGCTGAACAGGAGTTGAAGCAACTTCCTGGGACTCATACATGGGGGTCCTGGGCAGCTCTGTACCAGCTTGTTTCTCCCCTGGCCTCTAGGGATGCTGGGGGTGGGGCAGAAGAGCGTAGTGCAGATTCCTCCATAAACACGGTCTATGGGATTATCTGTGTCCCACTCAAATCAGGGATGTAGTCTCAGCCACCCCTCAGTGACTGGTTCCAAGGCTACCTCAGCATGCTAACAGGACAGAGCCAGAACCATGCAACAGTCACCAATGTTTTCCAACCATCAGCTGGTCTCACCCTGTAACAGGTCTGTGTCCTGTTAAGTCTCGTATGGGCCTTAGTCTCAACTGTAGTAGCCTAGGTTGTCCCCAGTGGTTGTCTCATTGGTGACAATTGCCTGATAAGAGCAGAGAAATGGAGCAGAGCATGGGCCTGGGTCAGGCCCTTCCTGGCAGCAAAAGCTGGTTGGAGCCTAGAATTCTGCATTTGTAAACCTCACTGCCCCAGCTCACCTTACAGGGCTGAGGCCTTCACTCAAGCCTGGGGTGGAAACCTAGGAAGAGCAACATGGAGCCAGTTTCTTGCTCTCGGTTGCCCTCTGCTGGACACAAGAGCTAGTGCAGCAACAAGGGGACCCACCCAAGGAAAAGGCAAAGGGAAGCTCTGATTGTGCAAATTTTATTGTGGCTTATGCATGCTTGTGGGGTTCTTCTCCAAGAGCCTCCTGAAATCGAAGGGCCAGGTTGTAGGGCTCCTGTGTGGCCCCCACAGCACCTTATTTACATTTAGATTCAGGTGGAGGGCTGGACACCTGAACCAGAGAACAGCTGGTAGACACCCTCCCTCGGACACAGAGATACCAAGGTGAGCGCCTCATTTCCTGGATGCTGACTTCCTAGGTTTGGGTGTAGCTTTCACCTGTGCAGATGGGGGAGACTGAAGAGTCGCCCTCTCCCCCTCCCTCCCTGGCAGTCTTCCCCAGGGCCAGCCCCAGCTTCTCATTGCTTACCTTCTTCCAGGGACTCTTGTCCTGAGGGCTGGGCCTGGAAAGGAATAGGGGCAGGGTGGGCAAGAGAGTTCAGCTTTAGGCCACAGCTGAGCCCTCTCATTAGCTGCACGAAGGAACAGAGTTGGGATAGTTCATCTAGACAGAGTGGCTGGCCCAGAGAGATGAAAGTGCAGGCTTGTCCCTCCACCTGGTCACCCTTCTGCTGTTCTGTCTACCCCTTGTGTTTAGTTTGCAGAGAAAGGATTGGACTTAAGTCTATGCATTCGAGGGAAACACTCCACCACTGAGCTATATTCCCAACCCACATTTGTGTCTTCATTTTTTGTGGTGGGGGGGAAGGGAACAGACTAGGTTTCCAGCAGCTAAGCAAGCCCTCGGCCACTGCGCTCAGCCTGAGCTTTGCTTATTCCCTTTTGGTTTTGTCCCTTTATGAGTGTGTTTTCTTCTTAGACTTCTATTGGTTTTCTTTCAGGTATAAAAAAAAAATCTTTCGCCTGGCAGTGGTGGTGCATGTCTTTTTTGTTTGTTGAGACATGTATGCCTTTAATCCCAGCACTTGGGAGGAGGCAGAGGCAGGCCTAGTCAACAGAATGAGTTTCAGGACAGGGCTACAGACAGAAATGTGGTCTTTTGTTTGTTTCTCGAGACAGGGTTTCTCTGTATTGTTTGAGGCTGACCTGGAACTCGCTCTGTAGACCAGGCTGGCCTTGAACTCACAGAGATCCGCCTGCCTTTGTCTCCTGAGTGTTGGGATTAAAGGCATGCACCACCAACGCCCTGCTTGCCAAGCTGTTTCTAAAATACAAGACATGAAATGAATATGAATCCATGCCCTGTTCTCTTAATTCTATCCCTTTCTGTGTCGTTAACATGCTTCCAAAGTCAACATATGTTCCATTTATCTTGCACCACAGAGAAGAAAAAAGAAATACCGAGGCACTGTTTGGTCAGCTCTTACTGGCAGACGTTTAGAATGTCACTATTTCCAGTAGTGCTGGGTAAGACCAGTGTGAGTTTGAGTGTAGATCTTGAAGTGTTTGGGGGGGATTACCTCGGTAGAGTCATGTCAGGATTGTTCTTGCTTCTCAAGGGCCATGCCAACCTCCAGGGCTGCTGAATCTGCGTGTGTGCATGTATATAAACACATTGCCTGTACCTGCTTCTCAGGACTAGCTAGCTCATAGAAGAGTTTTTGCTGTTTCATCTGGGCCTGGTATCCAGTTCCTAGGGAGGTTGGAGCACACCGATCACACATCCATTGCCTGCCAGGGCTATACAGTGAGCTTAAGGCCAGCCTGGGTAACTTACTGATACCTTGTCTCAAAACAAGCCAAACACAAAGTTTTGGGCTGTAACTCAGGGGTACCCTGTTTAACATGCCAGAAGCCTTGGCTGCAATCCTTGGCGGTGGCTGTGGTGGGGAATTAACAGCATGAATTACCTTACAGCCTCCTCCTCTTCTTTTTCTATCTTTTTTTTCTGGGAACAAAAGCCAAATGTTATTTGGAGAGTTAACCCCAAGATCCAGAACCAGAACACACTCTTGAGTACTGAGTAGTCCCAAATGAGACCTGCAGAACTTCAGGGGTGGTGGTCTTGGCTGGCCCCAAATGCCCAACCTGGGAGACCCAGCTCAGACCCTGGTGGCGGTCCATTCCTTTTCCCCAACCTTAGCCAAGTTTGCCTGCTTCTGGGGAGCCATCCTTTTGGTTTGTTTGACAGGTGTATCTTCTAGTGATATATCCACATCTTCATCTTCATCTTCTTCTTCATCCTCCTCTTCTTCCTCATCTTCCTCTTCGTCTTCCCAGGGTACGGGGTCTGAAGTCTCTGTAATGGTATGGGAAGTAGGCAGAATAGGGCAGGATGGGTAAAAACCAGAACATCTGAGCTATAGGGTTAATGTGTAGCTCCTCCCCCACCAACCCTTTCTGTTCTAAGTTTATCCCCAGGCAAGCACTGGACTTGAGAGGGTTCACATTCTACAGCGAGTCATATCCTTTCTGTCCCTTCTTCCAAAGTAGGGGTCAGGGTGAAGCAAGGGACAGGAAATCTCCACGGAGGCTAAGGGAAGGAGGGCAGGCAGGAGGAGGATGTGTATGAGTTGGGTGATATAGAAGTTGGGGCTACAGTATAGCTTGACCCCCAAAGGTCCATGCACTAGAAACTTGGTCTCCAGTGTGCCATGCTGAGGTGGTGGAACCTGTTCAGAGGTGAGGGCTAATGTGAGGTAGGTTTGTTTGTTTTTTGAGACAGGTTCTGTGTAGCCCTGGCTGTCCTGGAACTCACTCTGTAGACCAGGCTGATCTCAGACTCAGTCAGATTCACCTGCCTCTGCCTCCTGAGTGCTGGGATTAAAGGTGTGTGCCACCATCACCAGGCTGTGAGGTAGATTTTAAAGGTGCCGAATGGCAAGTTGCCTATGTTGTGGACCATGTTATCACGATAGCTTCCTGCTTACTAGTAGTCAATCTTTGAAATGCTCCCAAGTACTAGTTATAATTAAGAGCTTCTCTTTTTGTAGAGAGGGTCTTGCTATGTAGCCCAGGCTGGCCTTGAGCTGGGATCACAGGCTGTGCCGCCATGCCCAGCTTAAGAGTCTTGGAAGGTTCTCTGAAGTTGAAACAAGGGCCACACAACTCTCATGATACACCTGAGGCCCATTAATGACAGGGAGACAAGTGCAGAGTTAGGGCTATAGCCTTCTTTCTAGTTCAGGTCACTGGCAGTCATTTGCCTCTGGAAGATCGATAGAAAAGAGTCAAGGATCTGTTGAGGCTTCAGGGGTCTACAACACCTCAACTTACCATAGGATTCATGGCCACTGAGGAACACAGGTCCTGAGCCAGCCCGGAGCCGGAAGGTCACTGGAGGATTAAGCTCCACGCCCGTCACTGTGACCTGTGGTGGGAAGGGACATCAGAGCAATGTAGAAGACACAGGCAACTCAGTCTAGCCCCTGGGAGGGGCTAGTCACACAATGCTGCCATCCCAGCATTGAGGAGGCAGCGGCAGGAGGATTTTAAATTCCAGCCAGTCTGGGTGACGTGAGTGAGATCATCTCAAAATAAAACCCCAAATACACAAGTAACCCTCTTCCCAATGTGACTACATTCAATACATCTCTTTTCTGATTTTTTTTTTGTAGTAAAAAAGAAAGTCAGTGTGATGCACAGCTGTATCCCAGAACGTTGGAGGAGGGACAGCCAGGGGGACCACTGAGAGTTTGAGGGAGTCTGGGCCACAATAGATTTGATCTCAAAGAACAAGGAAACAAGAAACAAGAGGAAAGGAAGGAAGCCCGATGGTTCAGCTGGTGGGATGGTTCGGTGAGCAAAGGCACTTGATGAACAAGCCTGGCAGCCAGAAGGCTTGAGGAGAGAACCTGCTCCACACAAGGTTGTTCTGATGGCCATGTGAGCGCTGTGGCATGCATGTTCACCCTCACTTCACCCCCAGAGGAATCCTTAAGAAAGATGTCACGCAGGGCTTGGGAGGCAGAGATCTCCGAATTTGAGACTAGTCTGGTCTACAGATGGAGTTCCAGGGCAGCCAGGACTACACAGAGAAACCTTGTCTCAAAACAAAACAAGATGTCAACATATTAAAGTGCATTGAGAGGTCACACGATCAAGTAAGGAACCCAAAAGGCTCAAACTTTATTCTACCAACATAACGGTATGTTGACGGAATGATGGAGGGAGCACCTGGGTCAGGGAGTCAGGAACATCTGAGGAGCTGGGCAAGGAGGGTTGGCTACTAAGAGCACGCTCTTCAACAGGAGCCAAGTTGAAGTTCCAGCACCCATATGGTGTTTTACAACCACCTGCAACTCCAGGTTCAAGGCCCTCTTCTGGCCTCTGTGGGAAACAGGCATGAATGTGGTGTGCAGACATACTGTAGGTAAAACACTCATGTAAAATAAAAATAAGTAAAAAAAAATCTTTTTTTTTTGAGACAGGTTTCTCTGTGGCTTTGGAGGCTGTCCTGGAACTAGCTCTTGTAGATAGACCAGGCTGGTCTCGAACTCACAAGATCTGCCTGCCTCTGCCTCCCGAGTGCTGGATTAAAGGCATGTGCCGCCACTACCCAGCTCCCAATTTTAATCTTTTTAACTTACAAGCTCAGTTTTAAGTCAGGGAGTATTTGTAACTATACCAAAAGGCCTAACCCATGGGGGCAATGCAGGAATGTTATAGGAAGGGGAAAAGGCCCGGTGTGGTGGCATACACCTATCATCCTTGCACCAGGGAGGAAGAGCAGAATATTTATAGGTTTGAGGCTATCCTGATACAACACCCTGTCTCAAACAAACCAGGGCAGGCGAAATAACTCAGCAGGTAAAAGCATTTGCTGCATAAGCCTGGCAACCCGAGTTTGATTCCTGGAACCCACAACAGGAAAGACTCAACTCCTTGAAAGTTGTCCTCTGATTTCCACACGTACGTGAATACACACTATCTCTCCACCCCTCAGTGAATCTTAAAAAAACCTCCAGACTACAAACCTGTCATTATATACAAGCAATTAATTGTGACAGTATGAGATATACTACTAGAAGGAAGAGAATGTCCAGACACATAACTCACTGTTCGAGAGGGTATTTGGCTTGCTCACATATGCAAGGCTCTGGGAAGCAGGAATTGGGATGGATTCTCAATGTGGTCAAGGTTATGCTGCCTTCCTAGCATGGCTATAATAAGCCCAGGGCATGAAGGCACTCACATTCATGTCCAGACCCACTGAAGGATGACACCAGAGCAGTGGTGGCTTCCCTGGGTCTGAAGGGAACTCACCATAGGCAGGACGGAGGCCTTCAGTGAGGCAATGGTGACTGGTGATTTTCTGTCCTCCTGGTTTGCCGGGGGCACGATTTCCACACGATTCAGCTCCTCTTTGGCTTTCTCCCCCAAGCAGATCTGAGAAGGGTGACGGGAGAAAGCTGTTACCTGTTGAGACCAGAGAAATCACTCCTGTTCCAGCCTTCCTCCCCTCCTTGGGAGATACCCACTGTGCTGAGCAACAGTCTACAGCTGTCCTTCTTTTCTCCTTGGGGTCTAAAGGTGCAAGTCTGCTTCTCCTGATTGAGCTCACAGCCTGTATAGGGAAGAAGACACCATGGGGCTGGGAGGCTCAGGGGTCCCCCACATTAGGGGTACACTTCATCAGCAACGCCATCCCACCTTTGCTGGGAACAGCCTTACCCTTACCCCAGAGCATGGTCTTTGTTGTGTTTTCTGATCCACTGCTGGTGCTGTGGTGACTCATGGAGCTGGGTGGCTTGGTGTTGGGGCACAGAAGTGAGTCTGTGGTAAGATAGGGTCCTGGGCCCCTGCTTTGGAGCTCAGCTGTTCTCACTGTCTCCTGAGTAATACAGAAGCTAAGTCTCCTGTAAGGAAGGTTTGCTTGCAGCCTGGGGAATCCAATAGCCACTGAAAATTCCTAGAGGTCAAGTCACACTCCTCACACCCCCACCCCCATCCCAGGCAACTGACTGGAGGGAGCATCCCCAGATCTGAGACACAAAAACTCAAAACAGCAATGGAGAAAATAGTGATTTTTGTCTATCCAGGTAGGGAAGCTTGCTGACAGACTATATGACAGCCCCTGGGGCCCTCCGGAACCCCAGGGTGGAGAGGGAGGAGGCACCAGGTGTGTGTCCAGTGGGATCCGAGTCCCACTCATCCCCTGCTCAAGCTTACTGTGCTGCCAGTCATGGGTCTTACCTCCAACTGCAGGTCCTCACATCTGGCATGCGAGCTTCACATAAGGGCTAGCATCCCACACCAGGGTGTTAAAGAGCCTCGGGAAGAGAAAGGGAGGCGAGTGGGAGGTACCCAATTAGCCTTAAAGAACTAGCCCTTCTTCCTCCTCCCTCCCTGCCTGCCCTGGAGTCACCTGGCACTTGATTGTCGTTCATCTGCTCCACTGTTTCCCATTGAGCAGGTCTAGGTGGGGCCAAGAGAATTTGCATTTCCTACCAGTTTTCAGGTGAAGCTGCTGCTGTTGGCCCAGAAGGAAGCCACTGTTCACAGCCAGCAGGGAGGGGCTTACTGAGGTCACCAAAAGAGAAGGTATCTTTGCCTCTTAGAGACTCTTTGCCATCTGTTGGGAAGCATCGCTAATGACTTCCGTCATTCGATTCTACACGTGGCATTGCTGCGGTTCTTACATTTAGCCATTCTAGAGGATGTATTTCATTTTGTTTTTCTTTCCCTCGAAGGAAATGCTCTCCCACTGAGCCTGTTGGTGGCATTTCATTGTAGTTTTTAATTTGTCCTTCCTTGGCGATAAGGGATGTTGAATATTAAAGTGATTACTGGTTATGATCAAAGTGGCATTTTCTTTCTCCCCCCTTTTTGAGACAGGGTTTCTCTGTTAAAGTCCTGGTCCTGGAACTCACTTTGTAGACCAGGCTGGTCTTGAGATCCACCTGCCTCTGTCTCTTAAGTGCTAGGGTTAAAGGCGTGTGTCACCACTGCTCAGCCATGGTTCTTTATATACAATGGATATTTGTTTTGTGTCAAATATATATTCCCAAGTTTTTTTCCAGTCCAAATTATGTATTGTCTTTCTTTTCCTTCCTTCCTTCCTTCCTTCCTTCCTTCCTTCCTTCCTTCCTTCCTTCCTTCCTTTTTGAGACAAGGTCTTGTTATGTATTGAGGCCGTTCTTGAACTCAATATTCTTTTGTCTTTCCCTCCCAAGTGTTAGTATTATAGGTGGGCACCACCTCACCTGACTCTAATTTTAGCTTTGACTCTTAGATGTATGATATATTCTGAGTTAACTTTTCTGAGATGGTATTGTGATTGCTAGAGAAACTCCCTTTTATGCTAGGCATCCGTTCTGATCCCCAGCTGTTTGTCTCTGACTCCAGTCTCAATAACTCTGATTTAGTCACCCCCATGTAAAAATATACAACCCTGGCTGGGCCTGGTGGCACGTGCTTGTAATCTTAGCACTTGGGAGGCAAGGAAAGTGAATCTCTGTGAGTTCAAGGCCAGCCTAGTCTACAGAGCCAGTTCCAGAAAAAAACAAAACAATATGACTGTTTTTTGGTTTCTGTAGGCCTTCAAGGACCATTTTGAGGTCACCTTGACTACATGACCCTGACAGAGCAGAACAGCTCTTGCCTTGCTTGTGCAGATACTCAACGTCTTCTCCTTTAAAAACCTTTCCCCCCCTCCCGCCCCCACTTTGATCTCAACTAGGCTCAGAGACAACTGTCCTGCTAGCAGCTTTAATAAATTTAACTAATTATAGTCCAGATTGATTTACCCAGGGGTCATGAACTCCATCTCATACTGCAAAGGATAGCCTTGCACTTGTGATCATCTGTCTCTGCCTCCTGAGGATCTTGGACTCCAGGCATGTGCTACTACGTCAGGTTGAGTTCATTTTTATATATGTAGTAGGAAGGGTCCGATGTTGATCCCTCACTTTCGGCTTCCCCCCACAAACACATAACCCAATTCTGAAAAAGACTATCCTTTCCTCGTACTGATCTTGGCATTTTTGTTGTCAAGTGATCATATATATCAGTCTCTTTCTGAACTATCTCCTGTTTCATTGGTGTGCATGTCTGCCCTAGAGCTAGAGGCAAATGGGCTGGAAAGTAGATCTTGAGATCAGGTAGCATGAGTGCCCAAGTCAGTCTTTTTATTTTAAAAAATATTTTAAGGCAGAGGGTATAGTTGAGTGGTTGAGCACTTGGCTATTACATGAAAGGCCCTGAGCTCCATCCTGAGCACCAAAAGAAAAGATTTTAGGGGCTGGAGAGATGGCTCAGTCAGTGGTTAAGAGCACTGGTTGCTACTGCAAAAGACCCAAAGGGTAGCTCACAACTGTCTGTACCTCCATTTCTAGGGATCTGATGCCCTCTTCTGACCTCCAAGGCAAGTATGCCGTACACACACGTATGCATGGGCAAAATGCTCATACACATAAGATAAATCTTAAAAAGCTAAAGATAAAAATTTTAACTAAACTATTTCAGACTCTGTATTTTCACAGATACATAATCAGCACACTAGTTTCTACAAAAAGGACTTTTGAAATTTCTATTGAACAAAGAACATACATGGAAATGTCTTTATGTAGCTGGGTGAAGTGGGGCACACCCTTAATCCCAGCACTCAGAAGGCAGAGGCAGGCAGATCTCTATGAGTCTGAGGCCAGCTTAGTTTAGAGAGTGAAAGTCCAGGACAACCAGAGCTACATTAGCAAGACCCTGACTCAAAAACAAAACAAAACAAGTCTTTATACAATCCATCACAATACATAATGAATATATACCAATAAAATATAAAGTACTCATTGAGAAAATTACAGATTTTATTGAATGTAGAGATCAGTGTCAGGGGCTGGAGATATAACTCCATGTCTTTGGAGTCAGCCAATTACGATGAACACATTACCGTCTAATTTTCTTTGGCATTATTCTATAGCTTTTAGCACAGATCTAAAATTGTTCATATGTACTTCATGTTCTTGGATGCCATGGAAAATGGTATATATTTTAAATTTAATCTAATTGTTTTTAGTACATACAAATAACCTTTATTTCCCCCATCAGTGGTAGAGAACAAATTTAGGCAGATCCAGGGTTTTGGGCAGGTTAAACAAGCATGTCATAAGACTGGCTTTTGTAGGGAAGAAAGGGAACTAATGGTTACAGTTCCCTAGGTGATGTGGAGGGGGCACGAGGAAGAGATGAGAACCAAGCATTGCACATTTGTATGAAGCACCATAATGAAAACCATGAATGATAACCTGAAAGTGAAAACCCATGGACAAACAACAGACTTATATATTGGCCCTCTCTTCTGAGTTCCAGTGACTTTTTTTGTACTCTAAATCATGACTCTGAGAATAAAGACAAGGTTCACTTCTTCGAGATCTATGTGCCTTTTCTTTTTGAGCTTTATTCATTTGGTTAGGACCTTTGGTAAAACATTCATTTTGAAAGAGGGTCTCACTGTATAGCCCTAGGTAGCCTGGAACTTGCTATGTAGATCAGGTTAACCTCAAACTCGAAGAAATCTGCTTCCTGAGTGCTGGGATTAAAGGTGTGCACTACCACACCTGGCCTGCCTCTTTACTCCCCTTCTCCCTCTCTCTCTCCTTCTGTCCAAGACACAGATGGAGATATATATATATCCAGACTGGTCTTGAAGTTTGAGCCTTCCTGCCTCAGCCTTCCAAGCGCTAGGATTGCAGGTCTGTTACCCAGATAGCCTTTTGCTTCAAGGGGAAAGACCACACTTTCACTTTCAAGTGTGTTTTTGGTAAGATTTTTGTAGATTCCAAGGTTAAGAATATGTGTTGGGATTACACTCAGTACCACATACAGGGTCCTAGGTTTGTTCCCCAATACCACCACTCACAAGAAAATTTCTTTCTATTCCTTCTTTGTCGAGTTTTTTGAGATAAGGTCTCATGTTCCAAATTGGCCTTGAAGTTACTATGTAGCTGGGGACGACCTCCCACTTCTGACTTTTCTGCCTCCATTTCCAATTGCTGGGATTAAAGGCATGCCATCAGTTTAAGTCTACCCTGTCTCTTTAAATGTCCTGTCTGCCAAGGCATGACACCAATGTTATGATAAATTCTGAGGGGGACCTTGGCGGATTCCATGGCAGGCGAGGGTAACCTAGGCAGAGGGACAAACATGCCGGGCAGACAGAGCTTATTGAGAAGTTTTATTAGAAAGGGAGTGGGCCACAACGAGGGAGGCTCTCTCAGCCTGGACTCTTGGGGGAGGGCCTAGGCCCTGCCCTGGATGACATGACAGACTCTGGAGATCCACCATGGAAGGCCTCACCCTCCCTGGGGATTGGAGTGGAGTGGCTTGGGGGCCTGGTGGTGAGGGATGGGGAGGAGGGGAGGGAGAGGGAGCTGGGATTGACATGTGAAACAAACTTGTTTCTAACTTAAATTTAAAAAAGGGGAAAAACAATAACAACAACAACAAAAAAAAAGAAAGGAAGTGGGGAGAAAAGAGACACAGAGACAAAGAGAGGACAGAACAGAAGAGGGAAACAGGAGAAGTCCTGTCTGCCCCTTGGGAACATAAGTGGGTGGAGGCCTTTCTCTCTCTCTCTCTCTCTCTCTCTCTCTCTCTCTCTCTCTCTCTCTCTCTCTCTCTCTCTCTCTCTCTCTCTCTCTCTCTTTCTTTTGGTTGTTTTTTCGAGACAGGGTTTCTCTGTATTGTTTTGGAGGCTGTCCTGGAACTTGCTCGGTAGACTAGGCTGGTCTCGAACTCACAGAGATGCGCCTGCCTCTGCCTCCCGAGTGCTGGCATTAAAGGTGTGCGTCACCAATGCCTGGCAAGGTCTTTCTTTTAAAGGGGTCCTTTGCACCTGGGTTGATCAGGGCACTGCTTGAGTGCATTCTTCCAAGTGATAGGGACAGGCCAGCATGACTGGATCCTTATAATCATGTTGGGCTTTATGCTGTGCTAGGGACTGAACCCAGTGCTTCCTGAATGCTAGGCTAGTACTCTGCCAACTACGCTATGTCCCCAGAACATTTTCCCGCTTTTAATATTATGAGTTTCCATTTGCATCTACTGGAATGATCTCTAATTTTTCCTTAGTTTATATTGTGTCACATTTATGCTTTTAATAGAATATTAAAATTATGTGTATGTATGTTTTGTCTGTATGGCATATCTGAGCATTTGAGTGCCTGGTGCCCACAGAGGCCAGGAGACGTAGTCAGATCCCCTGTAACTGGAATTACAGATGGTTTTGAGCAACCATGTGGGTGCTGGGAACCGAACCCAGTGCTCTCTGGCAGAATAGCAAGTACTCTTAATTGCTGAACTTTCACTCTAGTCTCTTAATATTTTTTTTTCTTCGAGACAAGG